AGAAGGTGTTTGTGTAAAAGAACGAGGTGCAGAGACGAGTGAGCCGAAAGTTGCATTGAAATGCAAATGCAATTTTATATTAAAAGATAGCAAAGGGATAATTCACTATATCACACAACACAGCTTGTTAGTACTGTCATGGAAATACATATACAGTCTTTTCATATTTACACATCAAGTGACAACCAAACAAAAATCATAAATACCTCTTTTTGTTAACTTTACAACAGCTATACGCGACCAGTATTTCATAAGATAAAAGAGCACTATTAAATAACTGGTACCTTCCCTATCATTTACAAGGCTTGGAAACACAGTGGTTAAAATAATCCAGCAAAAACAAACAAAAAAAAAAAAGTTCTTCTCCAGTGAGTAAAATTAATACAAGTCTAGAAACGCTCATGAAATCCCTTTGTACAAAAGACTATACAACTTAAAAGCGATATCGTCCAACGACAGAAATGTTTTCTTGTATTGGTGCGATAAAATCTGTACAGTTGTAGCATTCCTGCAGCAGAGGTGGAGGGATTGTGAGCCGGGATGATCTGTTACTGGGTTGCTGTGATGCTCTGGAGGCCGTCAACCAACCGTCAAGAGACTGTGGTTATGTAGCTGCCAAGACCCTCAGACCCCTTTCATTGGCCTCAGTGCTTCGTCTAGCAGCAAATCAGCAAGTTGCTGAGCTTGTAGCAGATACTTCAAAATACGCGGTCCTATAAAGTCTAACTGATATATTTGTCAATATAACAATATAGTATTTCCTTGTACCATATCTCAACAACAGACAGAATTGTACTCTAAAAGTTAAAGCAATGCATAATATCTTTACTCGTATTAAATTCATTTTTCAGTAAGTTGTCAGTGATATATTTCTAAACTACAACCCTCACTGTCTGATGGGGTCAGACATGCACAGTGTTCTAAGATACCCATTTGTTATATACTGCACCGTGGCCGATGCTGTGCGTGCACCTTTACACGCGTTACATCAAAAGTCGATGGTTCAAAACTCAAATTGTGAAAAAGGACAAATGATCTCATTTACCTCCGACAGTGTTTGGTCACGCAGATACTTGTGGTTGTTAACGCCGAGGGGTTTGATATCTTCACTAAAGTGAAACTGGGACTTCTGTGATCATGTTCCGGGGAGCAGGGAAATTAAATTTGTGATGCAGATATCAAACCGAAAAAACCGTAACCTTATTTAAGATTACAGGGTTTACTCTGGTGTTTCTTCTGATCGTTACACAAAACACTGAAGTGATTTCTGTGAAGTTCACAGGATCCAGAAGTTTTCTCTTTCTTTAACATTGTGAGATAAACACAATGTCTCAGCATCTTAATTCATTTCTCAGAGAATAATTCATGGATCTTGATGAAAACACAGATCTAGGAGTGTGTGCACTTTTCTTTCAGATCTAAATAAAAATCCAAATCTAATGGATTTAAATGTGGTTTCATGAGAGGACTGTTGTAGAGGACAGATGACATGAGCCAAAACAACCAAGTAAATTCATTCATTTTGAGTGTGATCAATTAAAGATATTGTCGGTCCAATAAATTCAGGGAAGCTTTTTTTAGAGGCAGTAAAATGAAATGTTCAAATTTAAATCAAAGAGCTTCAAATTGTAAAAATAAGTGCTCATGGATAATCATCTGTCTGGACAGCAAACCCCCGAGGACCTGGGCCATATATCCTGGAAAGACTAAAAGAAGAAATTCTCAAAACCAGTTCGCACTGAGAAAGTAGTTCCACAGAAACCCCCAGAGACGTATAAACCTGTTCACTGCTGGGTAAAGAAAACCACAACTATCTGCATGGCTGAGTTGAAGCAGCGGTAAGTGAGAAGATATGTTTTTTTTCCCATGATTTCGGTGACCAAGTAAAAAAAAAAAAAAAAAAAAAACGTAATGTACATTTTAAAACCTCTGAGGAAAAAAATAAATATACAGCTGAAGGAGGAAAAAGAACGAACTGTTTGGCACTTAGGCTGTTACTTCATCGCGGCTTCCTCAGCTATGCCCGAGGACACACAATGGTTGAATCACAACTTACAAACAAAATTAAAAACACAAAAGGCTCCTTTCAGTTTTTGCAGGGGATGAAAAGACTTCTGCAACAAGTCTTGAGTATCAGCTACAGCGAGTCCTTGCTTGACCCATCGGAGGTGGTAAAATAAGAAATTAGAAGCAGATGTCGTCACTGAGGTCGTGCACCGCTGAGGGCAAAGGAAACGATCTGTAATCAAGACACATTTCTACGGAAGTGTAAATGCAGAAAGACGCACAGAGACTCTTTGAAGTCCCACCCTTTGGCACTGTCATAAATACAACTCTTGAATAACCAGGTCCTGCAGCACAAAAAGTCCAAACACTCCCACCGTTCTCTGGAAGTCAGCAAACCCACTCCACAAGTACAAAAAACGTTCATAAATAAAAGTTCATCGAGACATGAGTGGTATCAGAGAGCATCGGGGTTACACCGTCCAGGGAGCGTGTCGTTTTAGCTCTGTCCAGAAAGAGGAAAAAAGTTCACAAAAGAAGTAGAGGTGAAGCGTTTGTTGAGAGTCTGCGTCCTTTAAAAAGGCTCCAGAAAAACGCTCTGTGTTCACTTCCTCCCCAGAGTTGTTCGCTTTCTTATTCCAGCATGCTCATTAGTTTATGATGTGGCCTGAAGGCAGTAGCACTGAGGGCACTGTTGAAGGGCTGTACTGTGTGTGTGTGTGTGTGTGTGTGTGTGTGTGTGTGTGTGTGTGTGTGTGTGTGTCTGTGTACGAGTAGGACGGAGCCCCATTTTCAGAGACAGGAGTTGTGTATACGGAAGCTTAGTTGTGCCGAACCAGGTTCATCTGTACCGTTACTCTACATATGCAGTTGTGTTTGTACCTATTTACCTTTGTGTGTTTGTACCAGTTATAAATACAGGTGTGTGTGTGTGTGTGTGTGTTGGATGACTGAGGTTGAGATAAAGCACAGAGGGCGGGCGGGCGGGGGGGGGGAGGCCTCCCTCACACTTCACTCTCGGTGGAGGGCTTGCGTGTGGAGGTCCAGCCGGTGTCGGGCAGGCTGTGCTGGGCGTGACGCTGTGGGGTGATGGCCGAAGGAGTCAGGGTGGTTATGGAGGAGCATTCGGACGCCTCCTCCTGGAGGAGCTGCTCCGTCTCCCCGTCGTCTAGCGAGGCGCTGCTGGCCTGCAGGGACACGGTGTCTGTGCGCATGCAGGTGTGCAGGCCGCCTCGGGACGGCTTGATCTGTTTTAGGTCATCCCAGTACAGCTCCTCATTGGACAGGAGACACACGCCCTCCACGATGCGGATCTTTTCCTTGGTGTAGCCTCCGTCCACTCCCCCCTGGACAACGACACAGGATTAGTTTAGTCAGAGCGACGCCTCCACGTACGTCAGCAGCTTAAAGGAAAAATCCACCTCCAGGTTCAATCTGGTCAATTTAACACTTCATAGGAATCAAGTTGGGTTTTTTTGTGTTTAATTTATTAATTATAGAAAAGTCAGATGACAGAGACACTCCTTGATTTCTTTGTTTTTATTCCTTCCTTCTCTTCTTTGACATACTTCCTAATTTAATTACTTCTTTATTTCCTTCCTACCATCTTTCCTGACTCACTTATTCCCCAACTTACTTACTTCAGTCCTTATTTTCTTCCTTCCCGAGTTACTTACTTACATATTTCCCGACTTACCTACTTCCTCACTTTCTGAGTTTCATCCTTCCTTCCTTCCTTATTAATCTTAACTCTGGTTAAAAAAAACATCAACCAAAAACCTTTAAAGTTCAGCCTGTTAAAGGTGGATTTTCCCTTTAGGAATCAAACCAGTGACAAACAGCACAACACTGCAGAACAAGATATCAAACACAACCCATGCACAGCGAGTTGTTTCCTTTTAGTAATGCTGTGCTTTCTGCTGGAGTTAGTTTTTCACTTTTCACTATAATAAACAAAAACAGTGGGCTGCCTGCCTGAGGAATCTGGAGTCAAATCCACTGGATGGTTTAATGGCACAAAGAAAAAAAATAGAGATGTTGTTATTTTCACAGAGCGGAGGCACAGGGCTTCTGTTCTCAGTGTAATACTCATGGAAATTATTCAGTGCGTTGCATCGAGAATAATTTGAACGTCGCCTTTTTCGCCTCCTGCGTGAAAAACTCAGTTGGCCTCACATCACTCACTGTCAGGCTGCTTACCTGAGACGGTTTGTTTCTATATTGACGGCTGGTGCTGTTGGTTGCAATAAACAGAGAACTGGAAAACGAATTTGATTTGCGGCTTTGATGAATAAAACAAAAGTCATACATCCTCATCCCTCAGCTTAAAATGTACTTTCATCATACTGCATTACCTGATTGTACCTACGTAGTTTTTATATTATAACGGATGGTCATGTTTAAAGTTCTGAGTTTTCAAACTTTTATTCTTTTATGACTGTGATTGTTTTTATTCGTGAAGAACTTTGTAACTTTGTTCTGAGAAGTTCTATATGAATAAAGTTTCTACTAAGATGAAAGGTTCCTCAGACCAACAGACCAAACTTTCTGGGTCAGGATCAAACTTAACCACTGCTCAAATTATTGAATCTGCTCCTTAAATAACAATGTGAAACCAAAACTAACCAGATTAAATGGAAACAAGGCAACAAACCCATGAATCTTGGTTCAAACTTTCAGGTGAGGAAAAAGCTGTTAGTTGTTTAGGGGTTTTTCAAGGCTTCACTATTGATTTTAGATTTAAACAATGATGCTGATTACACATGTCACCTGCCTGTTGAAGAGTCAATTTCACACAAACAAATGAATATAAATAAAGTAGTTCAAACACTGACATGCTTCTGATCGCAGATCTCAGAAACCGCACCAACGAGAGAGATTATTGACTTTAGATTTCATGTTGCATGCAGCGAAGGACGTGAGAAAAGAGGGAACACGTAGAACAAGTCATAAAAAAAAAACACCAGAAGTGAAAGCACACGGCTCCTACGTGCTTGTGTAACTACCTCTCCACGGAACAAGTGGGTCAAAAGATAAAGGGAGAGAGGGAGTTGTAGGGATGAGAGAGCTGCAGTGAGGGAGGAAAATAATATTTCAACACAATCAACAACAGCATGTGCTCAGTCTGAGATCATTCTAGGAAAATATCATGGATTCACTTAAAATCCATTCATCTGTCAAACAAAAAAACCTCTGTAGCTCCACTGCAGCGCCCAGGCTGCACGTTACCTCTTTCTTATATCGCAGCTGGTTGTATATGGGAGGCTTCTGCGATGCCTCGATCTTGACCTCTTGTGTGGACGTCCGGTACGAGGGGTTACTATAGGTCAGGTTGCTCACTCCCGGGTCGGCAAACTTTGACTTTTTGTGTCTGTTGATGAAAATAAAGATGGATACAGCACATGGCTTGGATATAGAACTGAATGTAAGTAAGGAAAGGGTTGTAGGAGAAAATTAAAATGTGTGGAGCAGGGGACTGACCTGTAAATGATCAAAGCAGCGATGAGGATCAAAATAGCCAGGATGGTCAGAACTCCACCGATCACGTAGCTGATGTGAAGACCTTCTCCTGCAGCAGATGACACAGATACTAAAGATGAAGCGCGAATCCAATGGAAAATACAAAGAGTACACAAGAGAAATACTGTTTTGTATATATTCACCATGAGGAGCCGTCACCACGTTGCTCGTGCAACCTTCCACGTTCAGGTTCTTGTCAGTGCAGCTGCAAAAATAAGACAGAAACCCAGTTTGAGGAGAAGTGATGGGACAATAGTTAATATAAGGAGACGACATTATTAAGTCAAAACCATTATATTATTGATTTTAAGGTCCTGACCTTCTATGTAAAGTGCCTTGAGATAATGTATATTATGATTTGGCGCTATACAAATAAAATTGAATTTGAATTGAATTGAATTATATTGTTTTCACGAGGACATCTTTAGGTTTGTGTTTGCACCTGGGATTATTATTATTATCTTTGGGTTGGATCACAAGTGGACAATAGGTTAGTTTACGTTGTTGTTGTTATTTATGGTTTATAAAATTAGACGAATGAAGAAAGTTAGTACGCTGTTATTTGAAACACATGCATGATATTTTACAGCCATCGTACCAGGCACAGGGACAAGTCTACTGCTGTGTTTCTCAGTGGGATGACATGAGAGCACTCTCAGATATATTGAAGTATTAAATATATTGAGTTGGTAATTAAGTTTGGATCATATAAAGTAAGTAATAACTTCAAAAAGCGGCATTCTTGTTAAAAAATATTCAAACCGACGTACTTGACTGGTGAGGGTCCTCTGTGTGGAGTGTCTGTCGGAGCGTTGGGGATCTTGTTGGGGACAGGAGTGCTGCTGGCTCCTCTGGTGGGAGACGTGGGGACGTAACCTGAAACTGATAAACACGAGCAGATCGGAGTCTGAGTGTGCTGGAACAAAAGACTTGGAAGGAGAATATATATCATACACATACTACACAAGCAAAGTGTTCACTCACTGGTGGAGCAGGGTCTCCCATCCGGTTCATCGGGGCAGGCGCACACGAAAGTGTTTGTCTTTGCAAAGCAGAGGTGAGTGCAGCCGCCGTTATTGACTCCACAGAGGTTGGTACCTGAACGAGAGGGAAGGGATCATTCAAACTGTCGGAGCGCTGGATTTTAAACTGGGTGCGTTTGATTCATTTCATCAGGTAAGATTAATGAGAATTTTAGGTTTCAGCTCTGCGACACTGGAAAACGAAGGTCCCAAACTGTGTAAAGACGACTGCAGTTTAATATGATTTGGAATGTTAGTAAAACTAAACTAATAACCAGAGGCTCCCTCTCTAGTGCCAATCTTTGTTCGTTAATTAAATAAAGCCTCTCTACAACTAACAAGCTTTTTGTGAATCCATGCCACTTTTGATTAGAATTACTGCAAGTCAAATAATTAGAAACAAATTTAATCAGGCATATTTTTGTTTTAATTTTTGCTGAGTCAGCATATAGAAATACTGATATTTGCATTTTTTAAGGGTGTCGTTTGTGGCGTTTTTTTATGAAAGTGTTATTGTAAGAATGTTTTTTTTTTTTATTTACAGAAACAAACAAAAGTAAAACTGATGAATTCCACAAACCGCAAGGCAACACAGCGCCCCTGTTTGTTGTTATATCTTACTTAGTTATTATAACTGTGTAATTTTGAAAACTCAGGAACACAGTGAGGTGTCTCCCACATCCTCCCGGAGGTGTCTAAGTAAAGGCCTCCTTACCCGACTGTCTGTTAGGTGACACCACTATTATGTCCATGAGACCCTCCACGTTGGGGAGCACGGTTTCCTTGTTACGGCCCGTGTGCTTGTCCACACGCTGGATGGACTTAGTCTGCCAGTCCGTCCAGTAGATCCAGCGGTCTTGCTGCGAGAGTCGGGAGAAAGGGGTTAGAGGGGAGGACACCGGCTTCAACTGGGGAAACGAGGGAGAAGAAGAGAGGAGGGGAAGAACACAGACAAGGAGCAGGGGGATGGTGGAAGAGAGGGAAGGGAAAGGGAGGGAGGGAGAGAGAGGAGGAAGAAAAATGAGGGTCAGAGTGGAAGAAGAAGGAGAAATGGTTAAGTCGAATGAGTTCAGTATGAGGACGGAGAGACGACCAGTGAGAGTCACGCGGTGAGCGAAAGAGAGCAAGGTGAGTGGAGGAAGACGGGTCAGCCCAGTGATTGACAGCTGAGGGTGAGGAGGGGCGAGGAGGGGGGGTACCTGCGTGAGGGCGAACGGGTGGGAAACCGGGCTGACGAGGATCTGACGCAGTTTCCCGTTTAGGTCCGAGCTCTCGATCCTGTCCAGGTGAGCGTCCACCCAGAAGATCCTGCAGGAAACACCACCAACACACTGAGCTTCGTCTGAGGTGGACGTACCATCACGGCATGCTGGCATACTTACAGCGGTCAAGTCAACATGCTAACATTAGCGTGTTCTCGTGAACAGCATGTCACGTTCAACATTGCATGATCATGAAACTTTCATATTGTCTAGAAACGTGCTTCTGTCTGACCTTCGAGTGTCGTAGTCTAGCGTGAGGCCGTTGGGCCACCCCAGGTCAGTGTTGATCAGGACCTTTCGGTCGGAGCCGTCCAAATGTGATCGCTCGATCTTTGCAATGTGACCCCAGTCGGTCCAGAACAGGTACCTGCAGGGACAGAACAGGTGAGGACGTTTTCTATTGTAGAGAAAGAAACGAAAAACTCTTCTCCCCGTCTTACCCTTTGCTGGGGAACACTGCGATGGCTCTGGGTTCGTCCAAACTGTTGTTGACCAGGACTTTGCGGCACGTTCCGTCCAGGCGGGCCACCTCGATGGTGTTGCGCCCAGTGTCGGTCCAGTACATGTTCCTGGCCACCCAGTCTACAGCCAGCCCATCAGTGGTTTTCAGGCCCTGGCTGATCACCGTCTCCATGTCACTGCCGTCTAGATTTGCACGCCTAAGGATGTTACGGAAAAAGGGTTACGTCATTATGTCTATGTCCATTTCAACATTTTTAAAGGAAGGGATTCCTCAAAGTTATAGAGAGTTTACGTGCAGAAGTAGTTTGTGTTCTCACCTTATAACGTCCAGGGTGACATCGGTGTAGTAAAGTTTTCCATCCACGCTGTCGTAGTCCAGAGAGATAACATTGTGTAGCTCCGGCACCGGTACGTGCACGTCAGTGTGGTCGTTGGTGTCCAGGGAGATTCTGCGCACGCTGACGCGGTTGGAGAAGACCAGGAACGTCTCCGGGGAGTCGTCACATGACCTGCCGTCTCCCTTGATCAATATCCCGGTGGGACAGGCGCAGGAAGTGCCGTTGGGACGAGGAAGGCAGAGGTGGGTGCAGCCCCCGTTCCTCCGGCCACACTTATTAAAACCTGAAGCAAAGAGACATAGGTTTAATATAACAGAAGCTGTAGCCTACATTTCCCATAATGCAACTCAAAAAATTAAACCTCTTGTCCCCAGACTCACCCAGTGGCCTCTCCCTGTCCACGGCCTGGATGTCCATCAGGCCCGGCAGGTTGGCTTGCACCGTGATGGTATTGGCCCCGGTGTTCTTGTCAGCTCTCTGGATGCTGCGGCTCTGCCAGTCTGTCCAGTAGATGTGGGACCCCAGCAGGGTCAAACCGTACGGGTGCTGGACTGGAGTCACAAGGGTGTGGCGATTCTGCCCGTTCAGGTCGGACGCCTCAATACGCTGGAGACAACCAGAGAGATGATTATAACCAAGAGTCTTTAAAGTCTGATGGCTTTAAAATGATTGATAACTTTAAATGATTCTCTACAAAGACACCAGGGTTTTTGATCTTTTACAATTTGTAATTTGAGAGCTACGACAGGGAATCACTGCTGACCTCAGTGTGAGCGTCAGCCCACAGTAACTGTGAGCCAGCCATGTCGATGGCCAGGCCGTTGGGCCAGCCCAGGTTGTTATTGATGAGAACCACACGGTCGGATCCGTCCATCGCTGAGCGCTCCAGCTTGGCGTTTTCCCCCCAGTCTGTCCAATACATATACCTGGACAGCAACAGGACAATAATTAGTTGTAATGATCCCGACCTCCCTTTGGCGCCAGGAACACAAACAAGCCGATTTCCCAATATGCTCAACTAAGGATTACAAGCCTCTTCAATTAGTTTACATCTCTGACAGTATGATCAGAGGTTTACACCACGTGCTCCAGCAGCCTCACCCCATCTCATGGTAGAGCGCGATGGCTCGAGGACTGTCCAGGTTCTGCCACACGAGAACTTTCCTCATGGAGCCGTCCAGGTTGGCCACCTCAATGCGGTTGGTTCCCGTGTCCGTCCAGTAGATCTTCCTGCCGCGAGCGTCCACCGCGAGACCGTCAGTCGTCACCAGACCTGCAGGAGGACGGGGATAAAGATGGAATTATGACACTACAGGTGGAGTTAAACAGTATGACGGAGGTAAGCCACGCTCCTCACCTGTAGATATGATGTCTTCATGTGCTGATCCATTGATGTTAGCTCTGCTGATCCTCTTCAGTGTGCTGTCGGACCAATAAACCTTTGCTGCAGGGGGCGACACATTCACTTGTAAGTTTCATACATAAGTTTCTCCATCACCTGTCTGTTTGAAACTGGCTTTTTTTTTTAATTTAAGGAAGACACAACAAACCTTCTTTGGGGTCGACACCGATGGCAATGGTGTTTTTCATGGAGCTATTAACGGCCAGAACCACATCAGCGAAGTAAGGGATGTCCAGAGAAACCATCCTGATGTCTGTCCTCCGTGCAAATATCAGGAAGCTGCTCATTCCTGCACATGCACACACACACACACACGTCAGCAGTCATCACAGAATCTTTCTGTCAGCACACAAAGGAAACTGACATGCTTTTAAATTCCTGTGAGACAAAGTTTTTGAGAACTGTTCAAAGAACTCTTTGCAGTTCTCTGCAGTTTTTCTCTTTTCATCTACAGACATAAAGATCTACTATTTGAACAACTGTCCCATTCATACCTGTTGTTGTTGGAGACATGAAGTATAACGTAGCATTGAAGGTCAGAGAAGATATGGAATTTACAAGCATATATTATATAACGTGTAAATTTTCCCACCAAAAAACACGTCTAGTGGGCAAAAGGCCGTTAAACCCTAAGATTGGATTGTTCGGAGCATCTTCAGAATTGGTTCCTGAGCATATTTATAATGTCCTCAATGGACATTGTGGAAACGGCTGTGTGATGACCCTCTATTCAAATGTTTCCTTCATTATTTTTTTTTAAATGCAGGGAGAGGTAGTTTCATACCTGACGTGCAGGTCTTTCCATCCGCCTGCAGGTTGATCCCTGTGGGACAGCCACAGCTAGAGGCTTTGGGAGCAGGAGCCAAGAGGCAGAGGTGACTGCAGCCTCCATTATTCACTGCACAGGGGTTACGCACTACAGAAAGAGACACAGAAACAGACTCAGCTCATCCACCATCCTGCTTTCTAGGTCAAGCACAGAGGAGACTGGGGCAAACAAATAAGAGAAAGGCACAGCACTGCAGATCCAGGCAGTGAAAGGCTTCAGAGAACACAGGAAAGCCCCCGAACGTCACTGAGCTTTAAAGTTTGGTATGAGCCCCTGAGGCTGTCTGTGCTCGCAGCCAATGATCTGGGTTCAGTTTACCTGTAATCCTCCCAGTGTCAGCAGAGACACTGGATCTGAGGTAACAAAAGGCGGCAAAAGTCTGATTAGAAAGGGAGAAAGAGGCTTTTTTCAACTTTGTCTTTGTAACAAGAGACGACGAGTCCAGGACAAGACAGGACATGTGACATGTGGTCGGTAAGTTTAAGGACTGTGACTGATTCTTCATTTGTATACTTCATCTCTGTCCTGCCGCATGTTGGTTTGGATCGAGGGCTTTAAATTATTGTTTTATTGATTTCAGATCCAAGGTGTTGACAAGAAAAGACAAAATAAAAGTGTCACTGGTATTTGCTGACTGCTGTGAACATGTATGCTTCAGTCTTGATCTAACGTGCACACACTCACACACTGACCTGTCTCACGGTGCCGGTGGAACATGTGAATGTCCATGAGGTTCTCCAGGTTTTCAGCCAGTGTTTGTCGTCCCAACCCCGTGAGCTTGTCGGCACTCTGGATGCTCTTGGACTGCCAGTCTGTCCAGTACAGCTTGTCCTTGTGCACAGTCAGGCCGAAGGGGTGAGGCAGCTGAGTGCCGATCAAAACCTGTACGCAAAAACAACAGTCGAAGTCAGGCAAAGATCAGATAAGATAAGATAAGGGCATAATAATTAAAAAACACTCCTCACCTGTCGATCAGAACCATCAAAGTTTCCAAATTCGATTGTCTTCATGCCAGCGTCGGCCCAGTACAGGCGTTTGGTCTCGTAGTCGATGGCGAGACCATTGGGCCACGTCAGATTGGATGAGATGATGACAATGCGATTGGAGGCATCCATTCCTGCACGCTCTATCTTCGGGTTGGCCCCCCAGTCGGTCCAGTACATGAAGCTATGAAGCAGGAATATTAAAGAATAATGACGACTCTGTGTGAAGTTCAGGTTCATCAATACTTTTTAAACTGTTTAATATCTTACCCTCCGATCGGGTCAACGACAATGTCCCTGGGCCGGTCCAGGTTCTCCCAGATCAGGACGGTCCGCATGCTCCCATCGCCATTCGAAACCTCGATACGATCCGTACCTGACAATCCCAAAACACTTGACTTCTTAGAATCCTGTTTTTCATCCTGAAATATTTGTACTCTTACAGTTTTGCATTTGGGGGCTGCAGGAAAAGTTCCAGCAAATGTCCGGAGCAACTGAGACGTAGACATTTAGGTTCTCTTTCACAGCCCCTCGGGAAAATGTCCAGACTTCAGTGAATGTCTGAAAGCAGCTTATGTCGGAACATGTGAAATGAGGCTGTTTACCAGCATCGGTCCAGTAGAGCTTGTTGGTCACCCAGTCAATCGCCAAACCTGCTGGACTCTCCAGACTGGTGTCGACCACCACCTGGAAAAACAAACAAAAACAGCTCATTGCAAAGAAGCTCTGTATATTCTAACATTCTAGTTTCCATGTTGGACCTGAAACCTTGAAGCTGTGAGATGTGAGCGATCCACCCTCACAAATACAGGAGCGACAAAACATTGTTGAATCAAGATTTTAAACAGAAAGCCACAATAAAGGTGAAAGTTTCTTTTTTAAAAATTAACAGAATCTAACACAGAACTAATCTATGGAACCCTTTATATTTTTAACCACTTGTGGATGTACTTTCCCATCACCCCCAGTTGATGGCAGTATTGTCTAAGGTTAAAACCGGCTGTATTCCTTCTGTTCATGCTGCGACAGAAACGATGTGATGTCAGTGTGAGGTTCGGTCACAGTGTCGATGTCACTGACCTCTTGCTTGGAGCCGTTCCACAGCGCTCTGTTGATAGAGTCCGTGGTGACGTCCGTCCAGTAGATGAAGCCGTCTTTGGCGTCCCAGTCGAGCGCCACGGCATTGCGCACGTCGGCCAGAGGGATGACATCGTCGGACATGTCCTCTGTGTCGAAGCTGATTCGTCGGATGTCCGTCCTTCGGGCAAAAAGCAGGAACTTGTCAAGACCTGATTAAAGACCAAAGGTCTTCTGTCAGTCTTCTAGGTTTAACAGTGGGGGTCAAGAGTGAACACAGCAAAACAGCACTAAAACACACACGCATGCACACACGCACACACACACGCACACGCACACACACACACGCACACACACACACACACACACACACACATATCTACAGCCCTATCATTAAGCTTTCAAATAGATTGACTGTTAAATCATCAAAACTTCAACGTCATCTCTTCAGGATTTTCCTTATTCCAGATTTGAATTTATTGATTCAATGTGAGTATTAATTCAATATCGAGAGCTCAAATGTATTTGTGGGGTTAAATTTGTCTTAACAACTTCATACAAAATACTAAACTGTATCTTAATGCATGTTATAGATAAATAAATAAATGACAATCATCCACATGTTACTACATAAATCAGTGTTTCAGGTGTTCTCACCATCTGCACAGCTGAGGTGGTCGACCTTCTTGAAGCCGGTGGGACAAGCACAGGTGAACGTCTTGTTGCTGGGGAGACACAGGTGACTGCAGCCTCCATTGTTGGTGCCACAGCGGTTCCAGCCCCCTGCAGGTGAGACAGAGACACATCCAGCTCAGATTCTTGAAAACCAGCTCTATTAAACAAACGTATCTATTTGGTACGAGGGTTATTGACTTATCATTTCATGTTGGAAATAAAAAACATCTGTATTATTAAGATGGTTCTGAAGAGCTTGAGTGTGAGTCTGAAAATCTGAAGCCTCTTTTTCTTCAAATCTGTTCAAGATGTGAACGAACACGATTCACTGAACCCGAACCAAAACAAAGAGAAAAGTGGCCGACCTCCTTCTGGCAATAAAGACACTGTGAGGAGTTCATATTCATGCATTTTATCAGCTGACATCCAACACTTTATCTTGGTCTCTACTCAAGTTAAACATTTTTGGAGTTTGTTTATAAGAAACACAAGTTTCACGCTGACAAAACAGCTCAACTGGTCATTTCACCACAGGCTCTAACACAAGCACAACAAATCATCCCGTCGTCTCAGGGTCCGCCACCCTGTGAGCGAAGGTTTTTCACTTCTGTGTGTGCGATGAAACCCTGAAAGAAAATTCCTATTCCCTCTCGTCTGTCTCTGCAAAGTTGAGCTTGTGTTTGGTGTTGAGCGTTTTACTCTCCTGTCTTCTGCGTGACGTCCTCTTCTGCTTCAGGCTGCAAACTTTAAAGAAATGTCTCCATTGTCCTCACTCAGGATTCACTTATAAAAACACTCAGTCACGGACGGAACCAGAGGTATGTGGGGTAAACAGATGTGAGGAGCCTCGTGGAGGGAGAACAGCAGTTTTACATATGCTGTTGTTTTTTTTTTTTTACAAAAAACAAAAGTAATTCAGGTGGACTCCAGTCCATCACAGGGACAAACCACCATTTATACCTGCCTGCGATTAAGAATCTCCAGCATTAAATTCACAGAATATTTATGCCCTGAATCAAAATGCATTTTGGGTAATCAGATAAGAATCTGAGAGTACAGGTGTGAATGGGGCACACTGAGGACCCTAACCCTAATATGGAGAAAAAGGGATTTTATATACTTCAACTTCACCAACTGTCTTATTCTATCATCATGGTCAGTAAACACACGTGAAAATAGCCAGTGGAACGTTTCAGAGATATTTAACTCAGCCGTGTACCGACCTGCGGGCTGCCTCTGGGGGTGCAGGGTGTGGATGTCCATGGGGAAGTGCAGCTTGTTGCGAATAATCTCCTGGTTCTTGCCGGTGAACTTGTTGGCGCTGTTGATGCTCTTGGTGTGCCAGTCGGTCCAGTAGAGGCTGTCCTCAAACACCGTGATGGCAAAGGGGTGAGGTAGCCCTGAAGAGAGGAGGAGAGACAGAGGTCAGAAAAAGAGTGAGAGACGCAAACAACAGACCGACAACAAGTTTAATAACATAAACTGTTCAACAAAGTGAAATAAGGCAGGTGTGAGGTTTGACACGTGGAGATTCAAAGCCTCTTTCCAAACACTTAAAGATGGAAAGAGGAAATGCTGCGTTTGGCTTGTTCCACCGACACTTTCCAAACATCCTCCCATCCTGCGCTGTGGGCTCGGCTGATGTCATATCATCCCCCATTTAGAGCTGCTTTCAATTACGCTGCCTCTCGTCGGCCTGTAGCTGGTCTAGTTGTGGCAACGGCATCCAAAAGCGGAGGCGCTCCATCGGCTTCCTGCAGTAACGTAACTTTTCCATCCAGAATCTGAAAACTGGATCGAGACGCGCCTTCAAACGAGGTCAGACCGATAGTCTGATTCTGGACTTTAACGGGAGATTTAAAAACGTTTAGTGTCCGCTGATGGTTGAAAATGTCCGTTAAAAGGTTTATTGAACTTGATGACGACACATACTGGGACACTGAGCCTTTGGATTGTCTGGAAACCTTTTCTTTTTCATATCTTAAGTACAGGACGTCTCTTACACATGTGACTAAATAAGCAGTAATCAAAGTTAAAAACAGACAAGCACAGCTGATGTCTCCGACCACTTCAAACTAGCGAGAGGAACACAGAGAAAACACAAATGCAAGATCTCGCTCGCGTCAAATCACCATGTGTCGTTCTAACTTTAGCAGATAATCATGTCCTCATGTAAAACCCCATCACTTATTGTAAGTAGTAGCTTTCAGGACATTTAAAGAGTTGACCTCATTAGAAATTTGCATTGAGGATTTTAGCCTGTTTGTGTTTGTATTAACGCAGACTGATGATTTTCAGTGTCAGTGTTCACAGCCCAGACAAAGTGGAACCCTGGCCTAAATACTGTGAAACAGGGAACTCCTCGCAGACTCGTCTCCAGCTGGAACATCTGCTCAGGGTGACGCTTCCACATTCGTCCAAAACTGCAGCTTAATCCTCCTCCAGTGAAGTAGCTGCAGTCGGTTAAGAGCTGAATGGCTGGAAAAAGTAATTTCTGCTGCAGCACAGAGCTGCTGCTGCTGTGGTGGTGGTGGTTATGGTGGAGGTGGTGCGGTGAGCGTGCTGGCACAGGGCTTTTAAAAGCAGCGCCCATCATTTAATGACAGTGTTTTACAGCACGGCGTGAATGTCAAGTGGTAAATGGCTAAAACTGGAGAGAAACCAGAGTGATAATGAGTCACGAGCATCACAGTGATTGTGTGTGTGCGATCGAGTGTGAGCTCGATGGGACGAATGTTTTACAAGCAGCAAACCAATGGTTGCTCCTGCGGTCAACGTGCACACATCTGCATCATTGCAAATGAACAGAAAACATCTTTTAATGTCTAAAAGTCTTTGATTAAATTAGAGTTTTATTATTGTCAGTAAGTGTAGCTGTTCGTCCAGCAGAGGGCGCTAAAAAGTTGAGATTTAACTCCACCGAGAAGGCTTTGATGTCATCTGCTGCCTTTGTTTGTTTGTTTACTATTTGTTTATTAGAGCTACTTGACCGATGACCATGAAGCTTAGTGGAAGGATGCAACATGGGTGAGGGAGGAACACATTTTGAAAGGATTCAAATGGATCAGAAATGGCCAAAATTTTGATTTAGCAGGAATCGTCAGGTTAAAAGACGCGTAAAGAATTGAATCCGGAGGTTTGATTCCTCCTCCGGTGCTCGTCTTGCCCGTTCTCTCTCCCCATTTCACGCTTGAACTCCCCTGTCAATAAAGGCGAAATGCCCCAAAAAAGAAAAACAAAAGAATTCTCCTTCCTCCTCCTTCTTTTCAGGCAGGTCCAGGTGGTTGTGAGGTGATAGTGGCCGACTGTGTGTGTGTTCTGATCTTATCCTGACATGAGGGACACAACGGTGCTACACCCCCCGCTCTCCCTCTGAGTCATCGACACCCCAGAGGCGCCTGGTTTTGATACGGTCACCTTCCTCCTCCTCGTCTCCGCACCCTCATGCCACCCATCCTGCTCCTCCCTTTCCGGGACAGCTGGGGGAGCAGCTGCAGGCCGACGGGGCACCAAACATCCCAACCAGCGAGTAATGTCCCCTTTAACCTACATGTGGCACCTCCCCGTCCTCTCACACCTCGACCGTTCTATCTGCAACACAATGTCGCCTCGGACTGAAACAAGCACGGCTCAGTTTATAGTGTGATGGTCTGCAGCACGGGGGAATTTTTCCCCCTCAGATCATATTTACTCTTTGACTAAAGCAGATTTCTTTGAGAGTTGTTTACAAAATGACAAATCAAGTCAAACAACTGTGATGCTTGTTTTCAAGGGCCTCATCGATTTTGTCCTTAAAGCTCAAATCTTTGCCTGTTAGCTGCAACTCCACAATAAGTCACACTGTTACAGCAGAAGTTAGCATCTTGAGATAATTGGCAATGAAACTAATTCATTCCTGGATATGATTTCAATAATTCAAGAGACACATCAGCTGTCTCCATGTTAATAAATCAGATTTAGTCTTCGGTATAAGTTTAAAGTTTAAAATGTTTGTATCTATGCAAAATTTAGACCACAACATATTTTATAAAATTTGAGTCACATTTTCAAACCACAAGAACCGAACTGGCGACAACTAATTTCATAAAACTGCTGTGGCAAACTGTCCCAGATCATCATCATCCCCAGATGGTTAAACTGACGTGAGGATTTGTGCATTCACGCTCCCCAGAGAAAGAACCTTTCCACTAAAAACATGAATCTACCTCTAGTGTGAGATAATGGAATTACATCACCTCTGTGTGTGTCCGTCTCAATATGGCGGATGTTGTCGCTCAGCAGAGGACGAACACTTTTCTTTTCTGTGCCTCCAGTAACTGATACACCTGTTAACAGAAGCCGAGCTGTTGTCCACAAGGGGGCATCGTTTCTTTGATCTACTTAAATTACTCATTGTCAGTGAAGCATCGCTGCAGCATACAGTGTTTGTCCTCAGGCACATGTACTCTATGTTCACATGCACACACACCCACACACAGACACACACACACACACACACACACACACAAAGACCTCACCTCGTCTCGCTTTGTCCCCCACCTCAAGGTGCACAGGTGTGCAGACTGGATAGCGGCGTTATCCGCAACACCCGACAGCCTTTCAGCTTTGGTGATAGAGGTGCTGGCAAACATCCAGCTAATGTGTGCACGCGCACACACGCACAC